TGCTAATTTCAAACTTTGTGTTTGAGGTTATAATGAACATATCAATTGGAAGACAATGTTCATAAAAAAAATACCCTATGTGGAAGACATCTCATACTGTTAGGTCATTTTATGGAGATTTCCTTTTGAATGAGTCTATCAAAAATATCATTATTCAAAGTGCAATTTAGGGTCATAGTTGGACATAATTCATAAAGCACTGTTCTGAGAATTCTTTATGGGATTTGGTCTAAACATTTTACGAAAATGAGTTCGTGATGCATGACTGCAAAATAATAGTGCAAGAAAATTACGATAGACTTTGATGTAAGGACTATAAGCAAGTTCTTTAGAATGTTGCAATCTCGGAGATGTAGGAATTCTATGCACTAATATACAATGATGTTAACGGTAATGAATATAGTTGCATGATTTTAGAGCAACTTTATCAACGTCTCGAAGAGATTAAATGATATACACAATTTTTCGGAACCAAGTTCAATCATTGAAGATGGATACCTCCGTATATCAATGATTCTTACTATATTGTAGAGAAATTCATGCGACATTATATAGTTATAATCCAATGGTGGTGAAAGTCTATTCGGTCTTTTGTATAATACGTAGAATACCGATAAATATTGCTAAGATCAGGGGCGGATTCATATATATATATATATATATATGTGTGTGTGTGTGAGTGGTGACACGTGCAATAAGTGATTTTATTTCATCAAAATAAAATTTGTATAATTTAATAATTATGCTACCATTATAAAAAATTAATGTATCCACTTAAATTTTGAAGTGTCTTCCTCGACCAAAAAAAATTAATGGATTATTTAAAATTTAAAATACTTTTTTAAAAACATGTGATACCCTTTAGATGGGCGGGTGCTAGGTCAACTCTCATAAATGTATCGGTGTTAGGCTATTCGAGGTTGAATAATAATTGAATAGTTTGAAAAGACTACTCATGTCATTCGAGAATTCTATTGAAAGAACTCTAAAATTAAGTGTGACATTCCCATGGAAGTATCAGAGCCGACTTGTCACAGCCTGACTGTTGAGGGGCTTATCAATTGACGATCTTTGAGGTGCAACATAACGCTACATTCTAAAGTTGGGGAAAGTGGGGGAAGATGTGATACCTCGGAATTGTGCCAGTGCTAGGCTAGCTCCCATGGATGCGCCGGTGCCAAGCCATCCGAAGTTGAATAATAATTAAATATATTGAATAAAATAGTCATGTCAATAATGTGCACATTATTTCTCGGAAACTCTAGAGTAATTTGAGGTTGTGTGACCTCGTGGAATATATCGCAGGGTGCGAGTGAATATGACATTCCCATAGAATTTTTGGGGTGTTACAAAATATAAATTTATCAAAACAAAATATTATATTATTTTTTTATATTATCAATAATAATTTGTGTTTTATTAATATTATTATTATTATTATTTATTTACCTATTACACAAATACAATATAAACTATAGGAGGGAAATTCCTAATCATTTAAAATGAGAACCATGGTGTCTCACCAGAATTCACACAGAAGAACCTATTGAAAAGAAAATTGTTGTCCAATCAGCACCAAAGTTTTTTTTTTAGAGTGCGTTCGTTTAAATGATTTATACAAAATTCTACAATTCATTCAATTTTTATTTTTTTTTTCAAAAAAATATCAAATCAAACACCTATTTTTTATTTATTATATTATACTAAAAATTAATTTTAAATTCAAAACATCAGGTCAAAATCTTTTTATATCAATATACCTATTACAATTCAAAATTTTTACTATTCAAATTTCAATGCAAAATTCAATTCCTCAAAATTAATATAATACACACAGCTGCAACCAAATGTTGTTGTTTAGATAGATGTTTTTGGAGATTTTTGGAGATTTGGAAGTTTGAAAAAAAAAAAAAATTAGTATTTAATTTGATGTTTTGGGAAAAAAAATATATTTGATGTGATATTTTTTAAAAAATGAATAGTATCAATTAAATGAAAGTTTAAACAAAGCGTACCCATGATTGGATTGGTTCTATACAGTAAATGAAGCTTTGATCATATAGTGTAGTGTACAAACCTATCGTACCTAGAATTACATTATGTTGTACCTCATTTAATGCAATAGAAAATAATGAATTATTCACTCTCACTGAATTGAACTTTTATTGTCCTTTCTATTGCCTTAAATGTTTATTTATTTATTATTATAACGGCACATACAGTGGCTTTATTGATTTAAATGTCTTTTCTGACACATTAATCTCACGTGTCAATGGCGGAAGTAGACAAAGGTAGGAGGGCGAAAAATAAATGTACAGTAACTCTAACAAATTTATGTAAGAAAGAAGAGAGAAAAAGAAGATTTTGGCTTGACTTCTTCTGCACCAAGGTAGTGTCCATTTTACATCATCTTATGTCAATCAAATTTAAGGCCACTGTGTATCACTAATTTCCCGTCCAAATGTAATTAGAAATGTTCGATAATAGAGTCACTGTTAGTGCTTGCCTGTTAATAATTTTTCATTCAGTGATTAAAATATTATTTATTTGTAATTTTAGCAAGTTGAAATTTTTGTTGTCTTCGATCACTCAGCTTAGCAAAAATGAGTTAACAAATTGAAACAAGCAAGTGAACTTGTGAGCAATTCATTTGTTTTTATAGCTCCAGCAACATCAATGTTGATTTTTTTCTTCTTTTTTACACTATTTATTTCATTATTTTTTATTTTTTATTTTATTTGCTCTATAATGTGAAAATTCGCAATGTTACTCGAAAGTGCGCAATGAATAAATTTTCGACTGACAAGTGAACCTGAAAGCATCGGAATTTGAACATATAATATGACCGTCATTATTCATTTCATTGTGTTTGCGTCAACTTAAATTTCAATCTCAGTGGTGCCTGTGACGAAAATTCCACCTAGTTGACAGACCAAAAGTGAGCCCCTAAGGTCGTCTTATTTTTTACTTCTAAAAAAATAATTTATTTAATATGTATATTTTTTTATTATACACTTACTGTTTTTTTATTAAAAAAAAAAAAAAAAAAACCAAAAACGAAAACTGATACCTGATATTGGGCAATCCATATCTAAAGCCCATAAGTTTTTTTTTTTCGGATCGAATATGATCTCGACTAACAAGATTCCCAATATCTTACAGGAAAATTGTCGTTTGTCGGATACCAAAATAATTTCTCAAAGAGGGAAGGGAAGGGAAAGTATCCCCAGCAGAGCTTCCGCGAGTACTGTTCCTCCGGTCTTTCGCTTCTCCCCACCGCCACATCCATAGGTGCGTCCTGTATTGAACTTTCAGTTCTTTCATTTAGCATTTTATAGTACTCGCTGAATTCGATCCAGACTATTGATGCCCTCTTTGTGGGAAGGTCAAATAATAAACCCTAATCCCAATTTTCTTTTATTTACTATGTAGTTTGTGTTCTTGCGTATTGTGCGAGCATCCAAATGCGTCTGGATGTGTATCAATGGCATCATATTGCTGAATTTTTAGGTGTGTTTGGATGCGGGGTTGGGAGTTTGGTTTGGGTTAAAGAATAGTAAAATTTCTAATAGAATGGTGTTTGAAGCTACATAATAAACCGATATGAGAAGGATTTAAAGATATCTTTTGAATGAAAATTTTGATATATAAATGCTGAAAAATAGCTGTTTGGTTTGTTGTTTTTGAGGGGAGGAAAAAGATTGAATGGTGTGGGTACAAAGACAAGTGAAGTCCTATTTATTGCGTGCATTTAGCGATTTTAATTTTGGTTTAGGAAAAAGATCGTTATCTTTAGTTCTTGTGCATTAGCATTTTGAGAGGAATATGTGTTTTGAATTAATGTGTAATGCAATATATGTTGAAGCCTTTATTTATTCAATGATTTGTTGTCTTGACGGAAAGAATGCTCGATTGTTAAAGATTGGTATACTTTATATTTATTTATTGGTGTGTGTGTGCGCGCGCTTGTGATGATATACTTGTGGTGAAATAGTTGGAAAATTGGTGTTGAATGTGACGGGTTTAGAGGGAAAATAGTAAATTGACTAGTAAAAGAGGTGTATAAAGACACAAGTAACCAAAACCTAATATTTCTTATGATTTTGGTATTGTGTTTGTTGATGTAACTACATAAAATATCCGTGAGTATAAGTTTCTATTAGTTGCTTGAGGATTAGTACGAACCATTTAGCAATAAGAACTGACAGCGAAAAGCTGGAAGTATTAATTCACGTAAATGTTTTGGGCATGCTTGTATTCCATTTATTTAACTTTTGGAAATGTTTGGCCTTCGAATAAGCAACAATGGACACCTAATATTTCCACATGTAACTCTTGAAATCAGGTAATGAAAGTTATATCAATGAATTCGTGCCTATTATTACATGAAAAAACAATCGATATATGCTAAATGCGAACTTCGTGTGGAGAATTTAATCAATGTATTCAACCAGCCTAACAGGCATAGATATCATGCCGTGCAAAGTCATTCTTTAATTGGATTTGCTTTTATTTTGTGTTTGTCCATGTTTTCGTAGATCATGTTTTCTCTGAATTTATTACCGTCTAACAAATTATATGATTGTTCGATGCAAATTTATCATTATAACCTGTCCAAACTATTGATATGCATCTATCAACTGCAAAAATGGTTGTGCTTCAAAATCATCTTCTGCATCAAAAGTGATTAACCTGATGATATGCTTGCATTTAGACTTTAAACGTAATATGTAATAGTTTCCGTTCAATTCTGCATTCCATTATAAGTTGACTGCAATCTAGTAAGCTATGCTGTATATATGTAAATGTGTTATACACTACATTAATTTTGAAAATCTTTCATTAGTCATAATTAAAACTACCATATGAATGGCGATGTTCATAAATTTCTTTTTAGATTTGGTACTGTCCAATTGTGCCTGTTATTGTTTTCATAGCATATTCGAATAAAAGTATTAAGATATGAATAATTAATCGTCCTCTCCTTTATCTTCAGCTTCTGGCTTTGTGCCTATACTGATTCGGAAATCGACAGGGAACAAACAGAGAAGAAAGAAGGGGAAGACACCTTGGTATGTTGTTTTTTTAGATGTTTTAGATTCATATATGGATTAGTGAAATTAAGTATTCAATAGTTTATGTTGAAACTGTGGAATAACTTATAGGCTCTTTAAAGTTGTTTAGTATGATAAAATGTGAAAAGAATTTTATCCCGAAAAATTGTTATTTTGACCCCTAAGGCTTTAAGAAGATCCTCAATGATTTCCTTCATCCACAATAGAGATATCCTTAAAATTTTCATTTTTTCACATCATTAAAAGATTTATTTTTAATAAACACTTCGACAACTCAAAATAGTAGTTAATATCTTATATTCAAATTCAATAGCAAAGTATATAAGATCTTGTACAGGAATTTAATATGGGAAGTAGAGAAACGAGGAAGAAGTGGAGCTGGATGGAAGACGAACTTCTCATCAACGCATGGCTTAATACAAATAAAGATATCACAGCCAACACGGTTCAACCAAGTAAAGATCCACCAAGTAACTCTTTCTGGAAAAGAATCGAGGAATATTACATGGCGAATAAGCCAGAAAATGCAGTGCCTAGACGTCTTACACAATGCAAAAATCGTTGGAGTAAGATATGTAAGGCAGTAAAAAAATTTATTAGGTGTTACGAGAAAGCTGAACGAAACAAGCATAGTGAGCAATCAAGCACAAATGTCTTCAACTTAGCAAAGAAGATATATTCAAATTACGGCAATGATAAAGAATTCATTCATGAAGGCGCTTGGCGTATTCTGAAAAACGAGCCTAAATGGATGGCGAGCTATTCCAAATCATCTGAGAACAGTGGTGGAAGTTCAAAGCGAACTAAAACAAATGAAAATGGTGGATACTCAGGTTCATGTCCGGCGATACCATATTCTGACAGTGATGATTTGACTCCCCCTATTCATTCTGCTCGGGTAAAAGTCGGTAAAAAAATGGAGAAACCAGTTGGAAACGAGACGTTCAGTTCAAGTTCCACTAGCAAGGACGAGACAAGTGGTGAATATAGCGCAAGTTTGAATCGTGCCGCGGTGGATAAAGAACAAAGTTTGAAACAAGAACCCGAGAAACTACAAGCAATTTTGAAAACCAAGAAGTTGGAGAAGATGGTCAAGAAGTTTGACATGGAAGCCAAGAAATTTAATAAAGAAGCTAGAGAGATACAAGTTCGCGGGAAGAAGATGGATTTTCTCATTATGTTAATGGCGAAAGGTGATAATCTCAGCGAAGAGGAAAGGGTGGTGAAGAGTAAGTTGCTAAGGGAAATGTTTTAATATATAGGTATTAGATTGTCTTATAATTTTTGAATATTTTCAATCTTTATTTGTATATATGTAGTTTTAAGTAAGTCGCTAATGTAATTAGTATTATAATTTTTACTGTAATTTTTATTATAATCAAGCTAATAATTGGCTTCAAAAATAAAATATAACATAATATCTGTAAATTACATAAAATAATTAACATTTAATATATAAAATAACGTGTTCAATGAAATATTCTTTTTTGTCCATTTTTAATGTAACCGTTTACTAATATTTTATAAGTAATATTCTTTTTGTCTTCTTGTTTTGTTTATTTTTGTTTTTTAAAAAAAGAATTATATAGTTTAATATGATTTTAAATATATCATAATTATTTTCACTAATATATTTTTAATTATGTACTGTATTTTTTTGTCTATCAGATGACACCATACTTGAGGGAATAGTATAATAGATGATAAAAATATATTTTTTCACCTCTAAATTTATTAATTTTTAATGACATTATTTATAATATCTTATAAAATGTAGTAGTTATTATTTAAGTGAGAAATACAACTATTAAAAAAATGAACATATTAAAGGTGATTTTTCTAAAATAATAAAATAGATACATTGGGATGACCATTAAAAAAATGGTTTGGTGGTATGGGGAGTTATATTATAATACTATCTAAATTAAAATTTAAATTTAACGAAACAAACCCATAAATTATAAACTATGAATATAAATTATAAGTAAATGTAAAAAAGGTGAATTGAGTCCCGTATCTTACTCATTTTATTATTTTAGGACTTTAAGTGGACTATATTTGAAAATAGTCTCGTAAATAAAATTTTTTCGCTAAAATAGTCCTTCAGCGCCTCGCCACGCTGGCCCGCCGTTGCTGACGCGGCTGACATGTTATGGCCACGTGCCGGACTCGCTACGCTGATCCGCAGTGGCTGACTATGTTATGAGTGGTTATATTTTAAAATTTTTACAAAATTACTAAATTAGAGAACAACAACAACTATGTATCTTAATATTCATTTTTGTATTGTTTAAAATCAATAAAATTTCACTCTTAAAAAGTCATGGAAAATTATTTCTTCCTTCTACTTGTTTGGTTGGAATTTTTTTCAAGGCTCTTTACTATTTATTCCTTAAAAAAAATAAATCAAAATCTTATTTTGTAAATTTTATGTCATACTAAAATTTTTATGTGGAATGGAAGATGAATCAATTTTATGAATATCTATGATTGCGTGTTGCTATTGTTTAGATTTCTAAATGTAGTGGGAATTAAATTGTGAAATGTAAAACTCCCTCTTTTTTTTTTTTTTTTTTGGATGACGTGAGAATCTGCAACCATTACCCGAAAGTGCGCACTGAGTAAACCCCCGACTGAACCTAAAATGTGAATTTGCATCTGTATAATATAGAGATATTGATGTGTGTAGAGTACTAAGTGATATGTGTGTGCGTGGAGTATGTTATAAAACTTTTGGAGAGAGTAATTTTTAGTTTCTGTAATTTTTGGGACGGAGCAATATTTTAAAGATGTGATTAAAATTTGAAGGAAAAAGTGAGTGTGTCGGCCTGTGTTTAATGTTTAGATAAATTAGTAATTTTTTTTTGAATTTTGAAGTTTTTTTATAAAAAACAAATATTACGTTGATATATAAATTTTAATATTTTTATAGATACTTAAATTAATAAATTATCTAAATAAAGTATTATTTTCTAAAGTTAATTAACACATCTTTTATCTTTAAAATATTATATTAGTACAAAAATATATATTATAATTACTATAATTATCACATCAATTAAATCTAAAACAATTAACTATTTAATATATAATTTTTTACTATCACATCATTTAAACACAAAATAATTAACTATCTAATACATAATTTTTTAATAACCATGCCAACAAGTTTGTGGCGTAATGGAATAATTTTTTAGCATTATTTTAATTTATATTATTAATTTTTTTGATTATATATATATATTAAAAGAGGCTGTTGGTATACTTCTGGCCCTAATTCAGACCTCTCTGAACCTACAGCAACCATCGGATCAAATCTCATCTTGATATAATGGTTGTTATTCAATAAGGGTATTGTAAGAATTTTAGAAGATAATTAATTGTCAATTAATTAAGAATACTTAATTACATTAAATGGTTACGTTATAAGTGGTAACATTAATCCAAATAAATTAGAAACGTATACAATTAAATTCTTTTCAAATAAAAAATATTCGAAACACATTATGATGTACTTATAGTTCACAGAGGCTGTCACAACACCAATAGAATGATGTATAAGAAAAATAGAGGCAATATGCACTATATATTGGGTAAGTTTGACTTATGTGCTTCTAAAAATTCCAAATCTACTCATGAAATTCTACCTGAATTAAAGAAATTACTTTTGGAATATTTACAATCCAATCTTTCTATGTACTATTTTTTGAATAGTGTTTAATTAATACAATATTTCATAATTAACAATACACAACTATTTACTAAAAATATATTTATACATATAATATGATATATACAGTAATAGGATATGCTGCTTAAGCAATATATTTATAAATTAATATTTTCAATTGATTAATATAATTTCATTCCCACCGACAAAGTAATCGCACCCATTCCCCCAAATTTCACCAAGCCCTAACCCTCGTGCGATTCATCCCGTTCCCACTTTCAGCCACGTCGTCTCCGTCAACCACGCACCGCCACCATCGACAACACTTCACCACCGCGGACCACACCCCGCATCAGTCGTTCGCATCCGTTCGTCCTCCCAAATAACTCAAGCCCTATTCCTTCGTTCTAAAAAATAAAGCAAATCCTCACTCGCAGATGTCACTGCCTTCGACCACGCTCCGCCTCCGGAAAACACTCACCCCCGCCGTCGTTCACCTCCCGTCTTCCTCCCAAGAAACCTAATCCATAATTCTGTTGGACCAAAACCCTTATTCGAGAGTTCCAGCCACCTGACCTAGTTGATCCCCTCCCCACACACCCGCTGCCATCGTCAATTGCCAAAAAAAAAGAATCTCGCTCTGGAGCCCTCGGTGAAGTCTAGGCGAAAGAGAAGTAAATTCATACAAGTTCCATGTGTGTACCCAGGAAGGTTTCCGACTTCAACAATGAGAAGCTATTTCGTCTTAGTGGCCACTCCTTAAGGTATTTCATAAGAGGAACATGCTTTAGAGGTCTCATTTTTGTTAACCCGATGCCCATGTGTGTAGATCCAATTTTAAAGTTAATTAGTTTTTGGATGTCGAGCTCAAATGCTTTGTGATTTCTAGTCGGGATGAGTGGGTTTACAGATGAGGACTTTAGTAGGGGTGTATGGCTTGCCATATGGTTGTTTAGGGCCCCTATATCATTAGAGGAAAGAGATTATTATTATGGGTATGCGGACGAGTTTTCTAAGAAGTATGACTTAATAGGAGATTCTGTGAAACTGGTGAAAGATAATGATTTGAAAGAATTACTGGAAGTTGAAAAATTAGTAGGGACGGCAAAATTTTGGAGAGTCTACATTATGTATTGTATTTGCTCCCATTTAGCTGCTGGTTTAAATGCCCAAATAAGCCATCGCTACATTGAATTTCTTAAAACCGACAAAATAGCAAGCGAGTACAACTGGGCCGGATTTTTCAAGGACGAGTTGATTGCGGGGATAAAGGCTACCCACAAAAAGATGCTAGCGAATAACATTTTCATTTGCTGAACATAAGACAACATAAGACAACCAATCGGTAGGTGGTTGGGGAATCTCCCCTGGATTTGGCATGACTGGTGGTGAAACATTTTCTCCCACCGGTGCTGATGATGATTGAGGTTGTGTGCCTGCCATATTGATTTTTCTGATGATTTGGCCGGACCTCAGTCGTATGAAACTCTCTGTTGATGTAGGATCAACAATCTTGCTTTTCTCCTACTGTGGTTGCCAATTTGTTGATGTATTTTTTCAACAAACAAAAAGTAAAATTTAAAGATATGGAAAATATCCTTAAACTTGATTAATTAGCGTCTGAGATTAGGAATCTCTAAACACTATACGATACATAAGAAAATAAACTGGAAATAAAAATGCTGGAAATTTAAAGTGGTGATCCCCGAGTCTGACTTTGCTTTGTTGAAGTTGATTGAAGATGATTTCTCCAGAAAAATCCAAATCCTTAAATATCCCTTGAGAAACAGTATTGGAAACCGTCGCCCGAACGGTTACAACGTCTCTTTTCAACCGTCTGCTAACCCTTTCTCCTGTTGACAAGTGCCCTCAACCGACCAAAGTATCATTCTTACTTACTCTCAACAGTATCCGCCTCTTAGGACCGACCGCAAACCTTCCGCCCTTTTGGCCCGAACGTAAATTTTCCACCTTATTGGTCCGACTACCAACCTCCCGACTTGCAGACCACCCGACTTGTTTGGTCTAGCCGCAGACCTCCCGATCTATTGACCATCCGACTTGTTAGTCCAGCCGCAGACCTCCCGACCTAAAGACCATCCGACTTACTGGTCCAGCTGCAGACTTCCCGACCTAAAGACCATCCGACTTACTGGTCCAGCCGCAGACCTCCCGACTTAAAGACCATCCGACTTATTGGTCCAGCCGCAGACCTCCCGACCTAAAGACCATCCGACTTGCGGACTTTCCGTCTTGAGGACTTTCCAAACTGCGAACCTCCCGACCTGAGGACCTTCCGACCTGCGGACTTTCCATCCTGAGGACTTTCCGACCTGCGGACCTCCCGACCTGAGGACCTTTCGCCCTGTGGACCTCCCGACCTGAGGACCTTCCGACCTGCGGACTTCCCGACCTGAGGACCTTCCCACCCGCTATTTCCTTAGAAATATATTTATTTTACCTGTGTTTTCCGCGGTACCCCTCAACCAATTCGATCAACTTGATTGTAAGGCCCATTTTTCTTTTTACGTTGGGCTTTTAACTTAATTCTAAATTTCATACCTAACAATGTCATACTAAAATTTTTGTGGAATGGAAGATGAATCAATTTTTATGAATATCTATGATTGCGTGTTGCTATTGTTTAGATTTCTAAATGCAGTGGGAATTAAATTGTGAAATATAAAACTCCCTCTTTTTTTTTTTTTTTTTTGGATGACATAAGAATCCGCAGCCGCTACCCGAAAGTGCGCACTAGGTAAAACCCCGGCTGAATCCAAAATATGAAAGTATGAAATTGAGAGACAGACGTGTGTGGAGTACTATGTCTAAAATGTGGATTTGCGTCTGTATAATATAGAGATATTGATGTGTGTAGAGTACTATGTGATATGTGTGTGCGTGGAGTATGTAATAAAACTTTTAGAGAGTAATTTTTAGCTTCTGTAATTTTTGGGACGGAGCAATATTTTAATGATGTGATTAAAATTTGAAGCGGGAAATAGTGACTGTGTTTGCCTATGTTTAATGTTTAGATAAATTAGTAATTTTTTAAAAAAATAATTTTTTTTTTTTGAATTTTGAAGTTTTTTCATAAAAACAAATATTACGTTGATATATAAATTTAAATATTTTTATAGATACTTAAATTAATAAATTATCTAAATAAAGTATTATTTTCTAAAGTTAATTAACACATCTTTTATCTTTAAAATATTATATTAGTACAAAAATATATATTATAATTACTATAATTATCACATCAATTAAATCTAAAACAATTAATTATTTAATATACTCCCTTCGTTCAAAAAAAATATCCATTTACTTTTTGCACGTAAGTTTAGAAATATTAGTATTATATTGAGATATAGTAAGAATAAAATAGAAATGATTAAAATAACCTTGTTAGTATGTGTGATATAAAGGTAATGACATTTGTTTAATATATTGTAAGTTGTAAGGGTATTTGTAATGTTAAGTAGATAGTACAGTTACTAAAAAAGAAAATAGATACTTTGTTATGGGACGAACTAAAATGGAAAAATGAATACTTTGTTATGGGACGGAGGAAATATAATTTTTTACTATCACATCATTTAAACACAAAATAATTAACTATCTAATACATAATATTTTTAATAACCATGCCAAAAAGTTTGTGGCGTAATGGAATAGGACATAAGAGTATATTCTTACATAATTTTTTAGCATTATTTTGATTTATATTATTAATTTTTTTGATAATCTATATATATATATATATTAAAAGAGGTTGTTGGTATACTTCTGGCCCTATATAAGATTCAGACCTCCCTGAACCTACTGCAACCGTCGGATCAAATCTCATCTTGATCTAATGGTTGCTATTCAATAAGGTATTGTAAAAATTTTAGAAGAAGATAATTAATTGTCAATTAATTAAGAATATTTAATTACATTAAATGGTTAAGTTATAAGTGGTAACATTAATCCAAATAAATTAGAAACGTATACAATTAAATTCTTTCCAAATAAAAAATATTCGAAACACATTATGATGTACTTATAGTTCACAGAGGCTGTCAGAACACCTATAGAATGATTTATAAGAAAAATAGAGGCAATATGCACTGTATATCATGTAAGTTTGACCTATGTGCTTCTAAAAATTCCAAATCTAGTCATAAAATTCTACCTGAATTAAAGAAATTACGTTTGGAATATTTATAATCCAATCTTTCTATGTGCTATTTTTTGAATAGTGTTTAATTAATACAATATTTCATAATTAACAATACACATCTATTTACTAAAAATATATTTATACATATATAATATGATATATACAGTAATAGGATATGCTCTTTAAGCAATATATTTATAAATTAATATTTTCAATTGATTAAAATTTCATTCCCACCAACAAAGTAATCGCACCCATTCTCCCAAATTTCACCAAGCCCTAACCCTAGCGCGATTCATCCCGTCCCCACTTTCAGCACGTCGTCTCCGTCAACCACGCATCGCCACCATGGACAACACTTCACCGCCGCCGACCACACCCCGCATCAGTCGTTCGCATCTGTTCGTCCTCCCAAATAACTCAAGCCCTATTCCTTCGTTCTAAAAAATAAAGCAAATCCTCACTCGCAGATGTCACTGCCTTCGACCACGCTCCGCCTCCGGAAAACACTCACCCCCGCCGTTGTTCACCTCCAGTCTTCCTCCCAAGAAACCTAATCCATAATTCTGTTGGAACAAACCCCTCAGTCGAGAGTTCCAGCCACCTGACCTAGTTGATCCCCTCCCCGCACACCCACCGCCATCGTCAATGGCCAAAAAAAAAAGAATCTCGCTCTGGAGCCCTCGGTGAAGTTCAGGCGAAAGAGAAGTAAATTCATACAAGTTCCATGTGTACCCAGGAAGGTTTCCGACTTCAACAATGAGAAGCTATTTCGTCTTAGTGGTGACTCCCTAAGGTATTTCATAAGAGGAACATGCTTTAGAGGTCTCATTTTTGTTAATGCTATGCCCATGTGTGTAGGTTTCTAGTGGGGATGAGTTGGTTTACAGATGAGGACTTTAGTAGGGTGTATGGCTTGCCATATGGTTGTTTAGGGCCCCTATATCGTTAGAGGAAAGTGATTATTATGATGGGTATGCGGACGAGTTTTCTAAGAAGTATGACTTAATAGGAGATTATGTGAAACCGGTGAAAGATAACGATTTGAAAGAATTACTGGAAGTTGAAAAATCAGTGGGGAGTGCAAAATTTTGGAGAGTCTACATTATGTATTGTATTTGCTCCCATTTAGCTGCTGGTTCAAATGCCCAAATATGCCATCGCTACATTGAATTTCTTAAAACCGACAAAATAGCAAGCGAGTACAACTGGGCCGGATTTTTCAAGGATAAGTTGATTGCGGGGATAAAGGCTACCCACAAAAAGATGGTAGCGAATAACATGAAAAGTGCTAGACCTAGTGGCGACACGCACGCTCTCGTAATAAGTTTCTCCGTTTGCTGATATTCAATAATATCTTTTGTGATTTGTTAGTAGATCGCCAAACCATGTGCATTGATCTATTTAATATTATCCAATACTTTTGCAGCATATGTTCTTTGACATGGTTGACAAAAAACATTTGGTTGGCCGATTTTACACGTGCTCACTTCCAAGAACCCTGTCCATAGATAAAATTTGCAAGATTATGAGCCCATCCGAACCTTCGCATCAAAAGATTGTTTTAATACATCAATACTTTTAATGATTCTGTTTTCATATGTTATGATGTATTAGTATGCAAATTATGATGCATTCAATATATTGCCAATTTCACATTGTATCTTATTCATTTTCAGATTGATCCAACGAAAGAGATGAGCAGAAGTAAGGAATGGTATGACAGTGAAATCACAAGGTTACTAGACGAGGCTCATATCTTAAGAGAGGAACCTGATGAGAAGCATAAGGAGACATGAGATGTTGATCCGTGTATTCATAAAGATATTGTGGACTCCTCATCGAAGGATGAGCCCCTTCGGACTTCAGACAAAGCTACGAAGGATACTGAATGCCCATCTAAACCAATCAATGAAACCCCCCGATGAAGATTCAAAAAACCTGCTAGGAGTCATCTGAAGAAACTTCAACGCTTGTTGAGAAATTATTTTCCTCGGGGATGACACAAGAGCTACATGATAATATAATGCGATTGCAATGGTACGTACTAAGTTATTTTATTACATGATGTATGCAACATTATTATATATTCTTCAATACATATATATTTGCTGTAAAAACTCTTCACAGGAATACATATAATTTGATGATGTTGCACCAGCTAAGGAAACTGCGTTGAAGGATCATCTCCTGGTTAATAATTCTACGGAAGAGGGTGAACTTGTGGGCAAGGATGTTGCCCTAGTTAATGATCATATAAGGAAGGATGTTCCCCTGACGGCGGTTGTCCCTTGGTAGCCTCGGTGCTTCCAATAAGAATACTCTAAAACCACAGGGACTACAAAGTTTAATTTATGTTTTGTCACAATTTCAAATATTGGGGGATAGATTAAAAATTCACTAAGATAAGTAAGATAAGTGATACAATCTAGATTTCAAAAAGATTAAACTTTTAGCCCAAGGAGTGAACAAGAAACCGGATTAAAGATTCGATAATTGATTTTAAATAATCTTGTTATTCAATTGATAAATTGGTTATAGGCATTAGATACGATCATAACGCCCAATTTTTTCTTACTTTATTGGCGGCAATGATACGACCGATTAACCGCATCCCTAATCAAAGAAATAATTTAGGTACGACCATAAATTAATTTCCTCAATTGAAAATACCCCGAGAAAAACCCAATTCCAATATTCAATCAATTACGAAAAGATTAAATTATTTGATCATGCAATTCCTAGGCTAAGTTTGTCAACCTATTTACCACTTTATCAAACAAGTGCACAATTACGGATGCAAATGTTCAATTGGCACACAATTGTTAAACCAATCTAAAATCCGGCCGCAATAAAAGATTAAATAAGAATAAAGAAAACTAGCTACTCATGCTCAAAATAAAAGAAAACATTAAGATAAAGATAATGATGATCTCCCGATGACGCTTCCTCTCAAATGCCTCGCCCAATCCTTCAAACTATGAAATATGAGTATAAATTGTGATATCTCATCCCATGCCTTGGCCCATTTTTATAGATGATCGGTTCTTCAATACGCCTTTAATCACTCAATCTCAATCACCATTCCTCGTCTCAATCCCGGTAATCCATCACTTTCCTTGACATGCAAGCTTAGATCAAGCATTTCCAAAATTCTTTAATCGAAAATATGACATGGGCGTGATTTACTCCATTCATTTGCACCAATCAATAACATGACAGAATGAGTAGAAATCTATCCATAACATTAATTATATTTTATAATTTATCAATATAAATATAGGACAATATATGCATTATCATCCCTGTTTCAGAGTTGAAGATTCACCGAGATCTGTTTCAGTAAAAAATGCTTTCCTCGCCGTATGAAAAATCACACGATCTATCTGAATCTTTTTAGATTGGTTCAGAGGAGGAGGGTGTTGCAAATGGGCCATTTTCAGCAATCCTCAATGACTGACGGTTGTTCAAATTCGATGTGCAGACCTTAAGGTTTGGGAGCGACATCTCCAACACTATAATAGACATGGGTTTCTTATATCAGTCAGAAATAATTTCTGGCTTCGAAAAAGAGAAGCGCCCAATGTTGAATTACTATTTCCACGACTATGAGTGTGAGTTTTGTCTTGTTTTTTTTACTCTTCCAAGTACTTCTCATTAGTTGATTTTCTTCATATTTTATAGAAATGAGTAACTCATTTTTTTTGTTACATACTACTTGGTTTCCTAGAGCTTGAGCACAAAACACCTAAAAAGGATTTGGATGATATTGTTGCGGACTGGAAATTTATTCTCATTCAATCACACCTTGGGGATGACTGGATGGATGCTCTCAAGGCTGATTATGAGAGTGAATGCTTTTTTTTTTTTTTTTTTTTTAATTTTTTATTATAGTAGGGTTTGATTTATTTATTTTTTGATCGGAGGGTTTGATTCTTTTTGGTACAAATAATTGTTCATCACACCCTACTCAAATAAATGACATCAATCCCATTCATTGTTCACATAATATTTTATTTCTACAAACATAATTTTTCATTAGTTTTGTTACATTAGTTTGACTCTGTCTTATCATTGTTTGATTTACTCTTCTCGAATACCATAATTTTGAATACCTTGTATGTGGTTGCAGTTTTTCTTCCCGTATTTCTGTGCGAATAATTGGATAGTTTGCAATATCGGTGGTTAGGAAAAAGATCTTCTACTTTAATAGCTTGAATCCGAGGGACGCTTGGGAGGGTGACTCGGTCTTGTTCTCAAGGTTGTTTTCATACTCCAAATATGCAGGAACTTCGTTATATCGAGACCGGCAATGAGATGGAGAGTATAGCATTGAACTTCCTCCTCATATACCATAACTAGATGTCAAAAGTTGTGGTGTCTTTACTATGTTGTACATAGAGCACTGGCCACGCGAAATCCCCCTGGCTGTCTGTGAGTAAATGTGCAGAGTCGACATATTGGACATGAAGAAGAAACAAATTTGTGCTACTCTATTTTTCGGGAGAAAGGAAGAGCATATGCACTAAGGAGCGTGTGCTGGCAAGGCTCAGAAAAAAGGCTGCAGAAGAAGTAGAACAGAGAAAAGAACGTCCATCACGTTATGTGACGAGAGGTATTGTCGAGTGTGGTAGGGGGAGGGGGAGGGGCAGGGTTGGTTAATGTTGAACATATTTGGTTGCCTTTTTTTTTTTTATGACTGCATATTTTTTGCAATGTGCTCATTGCATATCTCGGATTTATATCGATATCCTTATCTGATTTTATCGTACTTTTATGTGGTTTATAGATATAAGCTAGATGATGTCTATCTCAAATAAGTATGCGATGTGAATGGTATGCTAACGGTAAAACCTTTCTTGCTCTCCTTTTTGCATGATGTATTTTGTTATATTAATCAGAGATATAAATAATATTTATGACTATGTTAGATGAGACAGTTGTTTTTTTTTTTTTTTTAGAAAATATTGTATGATGTATAGGTATTGACGTCATTATGTCAATCATAAATAGGTGTGCTACATGACTGGTATGCACTAGTAAAGATAAAATAATGTATATGTTAGATGTGACAATAGTTCTTATGTCTAAAATTAATATATATTTATGAAGTATATCTTAAATAAATATGGTGTCTGCATTAGAATCATATGATTGATATACCGTTCTAATGCGCAACACTTGTTTTTATGGGTATATGCTAGATGATGCCAATTTTAAATAAGTATGCTATATTACTGGTATATATATATATATATATATAAGGGCTGAATGATGTATATATTAGATGTGATAATGGTTGTTTTTTTCCATAAAATATTTCATTGTGTGATGTATATGTCAATTGGATATGGTGGATGAATTAGAATCATATCACGTATACACGCGTTCCATGCACAAATTGTATCTTTTACATTGACATACTCGATGATTGTTGTCTTATATTAATATGATCTATCTAAATATACCAGATGATGTCGATTGTATATATGTATGCTATATGGATGTTATATTGATGAATAAATCTTTTTGTTTTCCCTATATGTATGTCGGTTGTTTGCTTGATATATTGTTCAAAACTCAATGGATGATAACTATATCAACATGATTTTTTTTATTGTCAGTTTGAGCAGGGTATTCACATTGACGGGTTTTGTGGATGAAAAATTTATTTCATGGATCTCGGTGTTCCTTGTAACATCCGTGCATTTTTTTGTTTAAGGCAACTTACTGATGAAGAGCTTTTGGCCGAGTTCTCACCATCGTCTACATTTTTTGTCTCTCTGCATTGCTGATGAACATAATTCTACGGACTCTGCCTCGGTGTGTCTCATTTGCTTTCATTGACAGATTTTTCACCTCAATTCATTCATTTTTATGTTCTACGTTCATGATGATGTAGGTTTATTTAAAATATTAAGCAAAATATGGATCAATATGATGTTATTGTAAAAAAATGTGAGAAGTTTTTTGTGTAAGAGACCATTTACCATTAGTCATGGATGGACCAATATTCCACGCAGTGCTTCCTAAAACTTGGTTTAAACTTTTCATAAAGGATTTTTATATAGTTTGGGTCGAGGAAATAATTTTTTACTACACCGGGATAGCTTAGCTTAACTCGTGTTAAATCATATTGACAAGTTTTGAATGTTTAAGGATCAGTTTCTTATATTTGAGATTCACTTCATTTACAACCATGACACTGATCTTATGCAATACTTGACTGCCTTGAACGGGTCAACTATTTATTCTTACAATTAAGTTTGTTCAAGGATGAACAAAGATTTAGTGTGAAGAGGTTTGGTAACTCCAAATAATAGCATATTTATCGCTTGATAAAATTGTGTATTTTCTGAATTTTTATGTGAGAACCATCCCAAATATCTGGTTTATGGCATACTTTATTGATTAGGTTTGCTTGATATGACCCAAAGCAAGTCTGTGAAGATTATTGATGTTTTTAGCTTTCTTAAACAACGATTCTGGTTTAGAATGCCTATGTATGACGAGATGAGCGAAGGTGCATCCAACTATGGTGAGCGACGTTCTTTCCGCTCGTGCCCAAGCCAGTCAGCTAGCCAGACATCCACCGTTGATGAGTGATGAACCTTAAGTTCCAAGAATTGATTAAGTATGGAGCTTTCAGCTGTCAGCCATCCATTACCGGCCAACGACGACAACCTCACTTGAGTTGTGCCGATGCCCTCCAACTGAGCCAAGTATGGCAAGGTAAGCGAGGAAGACCTGTGCCCAACTAATGCAATCCTGCAGACGAGCAAACTACCTGGGAGTTGTGGCAGTTCCAACCGCTCAACCAACTAACTGCCTAACTGCCCAATGGTTGCATTAACATCTCTACCGCGCTCAACTACTGCTCCGTAAGCACTCAATTTCCGCCAACCGCTGATCCAAAAAATCTATAAGTAGAGCCAGATTTCTTGTATAATATATCATATAACATACTGTGAAACTCTTCTTTTGCTCTATTTATTTTCCGAGAGCTCCAATCTTGTAAGAGAATTCTCTTAGTTGGAGAAGGAGGTCGAGGGAGTGGAGATTCTCTCCCCCCTGACCACCAAGTTTTCAATTGCTTTCTAAGCAGATTTACAACATTCTTTACTGTTTTATTATAGCTTTATTAATGTAGAGTTATCGCTTTTCTAAAAGTAATTCAATATTAAGATTTCTTCATCTTCATACTCATTCCTAAATCCAAGTTTGTATTTGATTGTTTAAATCTGTAGTTTCCCTCACTGTGGAAAGTGCATCAAAAAAATTGATTATCAAAGCCTAATTTTGCATCGTATTCATTAACAGATTCTAGGTAGTTCACCGTAATTAAGTACGTGGGAGTCTTGTCGACCTGGTTAATTGCTATTCTGAATTCAATTTTGATTAAAAAAAGAGGTGTCAGAAAGGTAAAACAACTAATGAAACAAATTACTAGAATAATTAAGTAGACATAGGCGCTTGTCTATCAGGTCACAAAAATGTTCAGTGACAGTAGCTTTTCTTGCTCATAATGTTCTGAATTTGGGTGTCATTGAATAGCTTTTCTTGCTCATAATGTTCTGAATCTAGGTGTCATTGAAGCCTTATTGTAAATTCGTTAAGGACAAGTACCAATGAGTCAAGAATCTGGTTTAGATGAACAAGTACAATCACATTTCTTATTTCTGTCGCTTCGTATTATATATATGCCTCGCTATTTCACTTTCATCATCTATTCATTTCAGCCATGAGAATCTAGCCATTTAATTAACATACAAATCATACACAAACACCTCTGTCCATCCTCATCGCTGCTATTATCACCGCTCATTTACTCACTTACGTTATCACACACTGCTCGCCAACCATCACACACATATATATACCACTTATGGTTACCCTTGCCGCTCCGCTCAGCAACGCACTCGCCGCTTGTAACCCGTCTCTCCACTCAATGTCGCTGCCGCTCACTCTTTACTGTTTTCTTTACCTTACTGCATTTATTTTTTTCGGCTCGCTTGCTAACGAGTCAACCTTTATTGTTTTTTTGAATTATCGAGACTCAATAATATTTCTTTATTTGATTTCACGATTTAAAATCCTTGTGCTCAACCTGAAAAGTTACCAGTCATAAACTATAAATCAATAATGATATAGCATTTTAGGGTCTACAACAACATAATTTCTATTAACTTCTATATCCGATAATTTATAATATGTCGAGATGCAACATTCCTTTAACCCATCAAAATCCCTATTTGCTGAAAAGCTAAACCATAGTCATTCATCTTAATTTTAGCGGATCATCCATATATTTGGTAACCGTGTATCTTTGGATTTCTTTGTTGAATTGAAACTTCACCCTTGCTGCACACCCAGTACGTGTTTCGTATATCTTTGTCATGACGGTTGTGTAAGATGGATCTGAGATACCTTTTAAATAGTGATGTTCATTTCTGCGATCAACCCTACTTCCTTTGTACCCCTCTTTGTTGCAACAAAAGTTGAGGTACTACACTTGTTGAAAATACACTTTTGATCTTTTTTGCATTTTTTTTCGCACAACATGTAACACCCCGAAACGCAGGCATGTTACACGCCAACATTATAACAATAACGTGTATCAACACGCCATGCTATAAATCTAAGGCTTCACAAAACTTCACCTATTTTTTTGCAGTAATAACATTTATTTCAATAGGTAGGAATATGTCACCATTACCCCCAATATTTCTCAAACACATGAAGATATTGAAACAAACATATTACAAAATAGTGCCAAAACAAGTGTGCCGTAATACAAAAGACCTTTTCCCCCATGATATGCCTTTTATCGACCCGAGGGTCCAGCTAAGGAGTCTGCAGGAGAAAAAAGTAAGATCATCAACAACAATAGTTGAGTATGGAAATAAATACGTAAACAGAAAATGCAACCAACCGTAACCCAAAAGTCAAGGCAGTACTGATGACCATTTTTCCCATCATAACACAGAGCAATTTATCAATATAATATAATTAATGCCATATCGATAGCCCACTTCCCGCTAAAAGTTAATCAATGCCATATCGATAGCCCATTTCCGGCTAAACGATAATAAATGTCATATCGATAGCCCACTCCAGGCTAAACGATAATCAATATCACATCGATAGCCCACTCCCGGCTAAACGACAATAAATTCCATATCGATAGCCCACTCCCAGCTAAATGATAGTAAATATCACATCGATAGCCCACACCCGGCTAAACGATAATCAATGTCACATCAATAGCCCACTCTCGGCTAAACGATAATCAATATCACCATAATCACACAAATCACAAAAACACATTAGCACATCGTATCATGTATCTCACTTGATCAAACATATAGTCACACCCTATGACACCCAATCACAATACACATCGAAGCACACAATCAAACATATAATCAATTACCTATTCAGTTTAGGCATAGTCTGATGGCTATTCAGTTTACGATTTTTATGTCCATACCTTATTTGCGGATAGAAAACACCAAGCAACTATCTGGACAATCCCCTTTACCGATCGAAATGATCTAAAATAACAATCAATCTCAAATCAAAACCAGAAGGTCATAATAGCAGGAGCTACCTGCTATCTGGACACACCCGTAGAATTTTCTCATGCCTATATATAGGCGTATCAATGTCTTGATAAGGGTATTTATTCCCAAAAAAATGGTACATATTGTTGATACGAGTAGCCTAATCGATTAATTTGATCTCTGTTTAATTTTGGATGGCCTAACAACGACCCAACTCTGTGAGTATCACAGTGGTGTGCTTATCATGTGAGGAAATGAAACTCATGCTTTGGTTAGGCATGAAACTTATTACCCTAAAGTTGTCTTATGCCTATATATAG